AAGAGTTATTTTCGTTTTTTCTTGTTCGTTCTTTTTTTTTTTTTTTTTTTCGGGTTAGATGGGTCATTTTCGGGTTGAAAATTTCAACCTTAACCTAACCCATTTAATTATCAGGTCGGGTTCGTGTCGACCCATTTAAGTTTTCGGGTCAGAAATCTCAACCCAAACCCGCTATTTTCAGGTTGGGTTCGGGTCGTGTTTTCGGGTCGGGTCAGTTTTTGCCGGCCCTAATCTTAAGTTTGTATGATTTTTTAAAGGAATGTTAATTAAGTAATAATGGTATTGTTGTGTTATAAAACTATAAATACAATAGATTAAAAGAAAATTTTATTTATGGTGAATCAATGTGAAATAGTTTTCCACTTAATAGGACAATAATGGTATTAAAAGATCGAAATTCCAAGGGGTGTAAGGGTTTTAATGTGGTCCAAATAATTATATGCATCGCCATGTCATTATTCATGTGGCGCCATGTCATAAATCTCCTGATGACTTAAGAGTGACTCATGTCGTCAACATGTTGTCCCTTTGAGTTTTAATAATATTATAGATAGCAATTAACTAGGTTAGTCACGTACGTTACACGATATAAATAATTTTAATTATTATGTCAAATAGTTTAGGTGGGAATTATTTTTAAAAGAAATTGACACGTGTCGACTCATAATTCTAGTATGGCCTATCTTAGTAATAGTTTATAGTTTTTCAAGACGACTATGGATAGTGTTTAAGTGGGAATTAGAGGGTGAGATAATTAGGATTGGAAATTTATAAAAATTAACATAGAAAATGTTGTTTGGTGGGTAACTAGGTATTGATCATAAACATAATATGCTTTTGTTAAGTATTAGTTCTAACATTAAGGTATTATTTGTGAGATATATTAATTCCGTTACGTATTAGTTGTATATAAATTTGAAGTATTATATATAAGATAGATATAAAATATTTTAAAATTGTAAGTCTTGTAACTAATACATAATATGTTTCAAAAAAATAAAAAAAAAATAAAAAAAATAAAAAAAAACTAATACTTAATAGATCGGATCGGAGATAATATTGTAAAACAACCACATACTAATAATATGTCATATCTTTCGCTTTCCTCATAGAATATAAAATAACTTTGAGATTTTAGGGATTGGAACTCCCATTTTAACCCTCAAATCCAACAAATCTATACTTAGTATTTAAAAACACAAACCACAAATTTTTCATTTGACACATGGCATCACAATTCACAAGTCACTCATCACCCCATATGCCACATGTTATCTCCCTTAATATTTATGTTTAAGTCTTTATACATTATACAACTTGCAAATTCAAGTAAGAAAATGAAGTGTTTCATTTCCACCATAATAAAATAATGTTTTAATTAATACACATTACATAAACATATAAATTATAATAAAAATTGTCTTTTCAATTGCCCTTGTTGAATGTCGAACTTCGACCACACTATTCGAGCTGCTGGGAAATCTCTTAGGATGTGACTCACATTTTCTTCGACAAACCCACACATAAAACATCTAGGGTCTATTGTTAGATGGGGAATGAAGCGAGTAGCATTTGTCATTAACTTTCCATGAGCAGCCAACCAAAGAAAATTTTGAATCCTTTGCGGGGCTTGGAGGCTCCAAATATGTTTCCATTTTAGGCTTCCTTCATTATTATTGTCTTGAGTGTTACGCACCAACATCATGGCAGATTTCATGTTAAATCCCCAGATGGGGACCCATTCCAGTAGATAGAGTCAACAACTTCTTCATCTATAAGTAACTCGTGAGATTGAATAATCTCCAAGACATCACGAGGGAGGTAGTCTGCAAAAAAATTCCAATTTCCACCCTTTTTGTTCGTCCCACATGTCTCGCACTTTGAAATTCTGGATGTCCTCTGGAGTGTTTATAGTAGGGAGGCTCATTAGTAGCCCATCTATGCCACCAAAACTTTGTACTCATCCCATTTCCTACTGCCACGTTGATCCCCTTCTTAAGAACATCAACATTCTCCACTATTCCCCTCTAAGCATTCGAAGCATCAGTCTTATGAATGAACATCTAGACATCACATCTTCCTTTACAATATTTTCTTCGAAATACTCTCAACCATAGAGAATTTTTTTCAGTGAGCAAACGCCAACCTAGCTTGCATAAAAATGTCACGCCTCATTGATCGAAGACCAAGGCCAGCTTGGTTCTTTGTTCGAGTCACTGTTTCCCAATTTAACAAGTGTATACACTTCTTTTCATCCGTACTTCCCGACAAAAAAATCCTCGTTTTGCTGTCAAGTTTATCACATACTGCCCTCGGGATCCTTGTAGTCTTCATTGAGTAATATGGGATAGTCAAAAGAGAAGTTTGAGCCAATATAGCACGACCATCCAAGGAGAAGACTTTAGACCTCCAGCCATCTAACTTGGAGTTAACCTGGTCTACCAAGAATTGATGATTCTCATTTCTTACCCTTTTATTTATAGTAGGAACACCGAGGTATTTGCCAAAATCCTCTGTTTCCTCCATTCTTAAAGCTTTACATATTTCCCCACGAGATTCAAGAGGGGTATTCTTTGAAAAATACACCCTACTTTTACTCACACTGACCTTACTACTTGATGCTTGGCTGAATTTTGTAAGGCAATTGTTCATTAACTCGTCCTGCTCCCTAAATGCCTCACAAAATAAAATGAGGTCATCAGCGAAGGTAAGTTCGAATTGAAATTGACGGTCAATCCTTGCTTGCTTTGACTGGTTTCCAATTACCAACGCTCTACATTCTCTATTGATTAAATGTGCTAGCCTCTCCATACAAATGACATACAGGTAAGTTAATAGAGGGTCACCTTGTCTAATGCCTCTTGACGACATAAAAGCTTCAGTTGGTTCTCCATTCCACAATATCCTAAGCTTTAGCCGAATTAAGGCACAACATTACAATGTCCACCATGAGTTGCGGCAATCGAAGCTCCATATGCGAGTCCTTGATAAACAACCATCTAAGCTTATCAAAGGCTTTTTCAAAATCAATTTTCACCGCCATGTAACCCGTCTTCCCTTGCTTTCACCTCATTATATGGAGCATTTCTTGGACAATAATAATATTATCCTTGATTTGTCGTTTCGGCACAAAGCTATATTATTGAGTTGGCGAGATTAAATTAGGAAGAATAGGTTTCAAACGATTAAGTGATATTGCACAACCCAATCGGCCAAAAATCTTTTGTTGTTTGAGGCACTTCTACTTTTGGGATGAGCACAAGAAACGCATCAGTTAACTCTTGGGGGAAGCTACGACCTTCAAGCACATCTTTTACTGTACGCACAACACTAGGTTGTACCGTCTACCAGAAACGTTGATAGAAAAGAGATTGGAAACCATCCGGACCCGGTGCCTTGTAAGGGTCCATGCTCATCAAAGCCTTCATAATTTCACAATTGGCAAAGGGCTTGTTTAACATTTCCCATTCATCATCAGAAATACGGGGAAAATAATTACATAATAAATCCGATGTGCCTAGAAACCCCTTCCCCTCCTTGTACAACCGTTAGCCTACGCGGCTACGCCTGCCTCTGATGTGCCTGCGCCGGCGCTCCCCTCTCATACCCTCTAAATCGCCTAAATCCGACCCTAAAACCGCCCTTATCTCAACCCGAATCCGTAAAAATGCCTAGTCCTACCACAAACCCTCCAAAGTCCAACGACCATCCCCCACCCTCGAAACCCTCATGACTAGGAAACTGAGGGTCGGAGAGGGTCAATAGGGGATTTGTGCGATGGGGTTGCGGTTTTTTTAGGTCTTTAGGGTTTGAGTGAGGAAGATTTCGAGTTAAGGTTTTGGTGGTTTAGGGGGTTGATAGGCTCAAGTCGTATTCACCTAATCAAAAATAAAACCTAAATCCACTAACTATGTAGATAGGGAAGAAGGGTCGAACCACAGGGAAACAAGTCAATTTATTCCTAATTATTTATAAGCAATCTAAATTATCAAGTAACCAAATTGTTGTAAAAAGGTAATTAAACTACTAAAGGGTAAGAGTAGGAAGGGAATAAAATAGGAGATAAATCATTGAAGAGAAAACCTAGGGCATAGGTTCACTAATAAACAATATTCCAGGGCAAATCATAATAAGCAATCATCAATGCATCAATTAATCAGATTATAAAGGGCTTTTGCTACGTATTATAATCATAGAGTTAATTTACCGGTATTAAATCTCATCTCTCGAATCTCGACTTAACCATTTATAAATTAGTCCGCCTATTGAAACTAAGCCTAAACATCAATTCTCATCTCTCGAATCTCGAATCAATATTGCTAAACTCATACAATTAAATCTGGCCAAACCTAATTGCATAGCATTAAATCAATCAATAGGAAATTAATCAAGCATTGATAATCAACAAACACAAATTACCCCTTCATACTATTTATTAGATCCCCATAAACCCTAGAAATAAAACTACTCAAGCATAATTAAATCTAAGCTAGTCAAAACAATAAAATAAAACATGATGAAAGAATTAAAGAAAATAACTAAAATTAAAACAGAAGATATTGTTACCAAAAGAAATCTGGATTAAGGAATGGAATTAAGAACAAAGTTGAGAGAATTTAAGAGAGAGAAAATATTCTAAGTAGAGAGAGAAAATCTAAAAGAGAAGGTAATCAAAATTACGTACAAAAATCGTACTTAAACATCCCTAAAACAAGTCCTAATTGAAAACTAATTACTCGGCTCCAAAAACACGCGCCCGATCGGGCCTGCCTTTTTTCCTTCACTCTTCCTGGGCGGCTGCGCTCGATCGAGCTTACACTCACTCGATCGGGCGCGCCTTCTTGCTGATGCTCTCATATGCGCGCCCGCCCGATCGGGCGCAAGCATGCCCAATCGGGCCCGGTCTATTCTTCGAGGCTTGGACTTCGATTGGGCTCGATTCTTCGGCCCAATTCGGATTTCCTCTTCGGGTCTTGAATGCTCGGTCCAAATGCCCCGGTATCACACACCGACCCCTTAATCACCGGCTCTAACCGGTCCTGGGCTTCAAAGATGGTCGTGTCCTCCTAATTTAATGCTCATAGTTGCTTCATGAAAACCCCGAAAAACGCTCCAAATATGCAATTTCCTACAAAACTCAAGCAAAACTACAAAGCCACTAGAAAACACCAATTAGTAATAAAAGTAGCTCTAAATAGCCAAAAACACCACTAATTATGACCAAGGGACGGGGGTAAAACACTATATAAATTGGACATATCAGGGGTAGGGGGAGTGGCAGCACCGTACTGGGGGGAAATGGGTTCTGGTCGCAGCGGCGGTTAAGGGAGGGGGGTCGAAGTAACTGGGCAGTGGGAGGAGGTGGCTGCTGGAAAGTTACGTTGGTGGTGGATGTGGTTTTTTTTTTTTTTTGTAAATTAATTAAATATTTTCAACTAATCATGTGATGACATGTGTATCGTAAACAAAATAAAAAAAAATATATAAAAAAAAAAAAAAAACCCTCTTTAACAAGGTTACTGGTTACATGGGACTATTTTGAGCGGATAACCCCTAAAGTTCATATTATTTAAAATTAAACCAAAGTCAAGATTATTTTGAACGAACCGGCGAAAGTTGTGATTATTTTTAACAATTTTACTAAAAAAATAATAATGATATTTAAGATAGATATACATACCAGTATTTGTATTTTGAAAATCATATCAAATCAGAATAAAATTTTCAAAATCCGATTTTAATTCATTGAACCCGACCACAATTGAACATCAAATTGACATCCTTTTATTCTACGAATAAAATAATCATTATTTTAGATTTAAGCTCAAAATAATAGTTATCCTAAAACCAACAAGGCAATAAAAATTGTTTAAATAATTATTATACTATCTTATTGTCTAACAAAATACGTACGTGTCTAGTCAATTCAAATTTGTGTTTCTGCCTTAGACTTGATAGTTGATACCCTATTTTTTCTGCAATACTACTACTATAGTTTTCATTACACTTGAATACTTGATCATTATTATAATGCTTGTATGACTAATTAAACTCTACATAAATCCCACTTGGTACATTTTCCACGGACTACACGCTGTCGTTCCACATCAATTCAATACATACACCATCTCCAAATTATTGGGATTGACTTATTCTCTGATTCGCTATACTTCGAGTATTCTCAAATATATGCTACTGAATATAAATACCCGCAAAAATCAGATTGATCATTCATTCAGAAACAAAAACACACAAACGTATAAAAAGTAATTCTAAAAATATCAAATTTCAGTCTCAGCTAATTGCTTTATTTCTTTAGGTACATATGATGATCCCAACAAGTATCCACGACGCTATGTTTTTTCTTATGAATACATTAGTTGAAGAAGGTCAGTTAAATAGTGCAAATGGAGCACTTACTAAGCCTTATGTTTACCATCATTCGTGAAATTGTTCTTTGGTTTGTAGATAATCGTTTCTACATTCATTTGCTGTTTAACTTTTTACTTGTTATTGTTATTCTACTCAATAAAAGGAACAGCGGCCGTAACTCGGATGACAACCACGGCAATACGCCGTTGGTTTCCGAGAATGTTTGTGGTGCTAGTACTGACGATGATAGTGATAATGAGCGTGAACACTTAATTATTGATATCGAATCGTACGATGAAGATAGTGATGAAGATTATTGTTGTCGTTCTGATGATGATGATGATGTGGATAGTGATAATGGATCCGATGGTTACGACGAGGATGATGACAATGATGGCTTGAGGCGAAGATCCGATAAGTTTATTGCAAAGATGCATAATGGATGGAGGGAAGAAGGGATTAGGGACAAAATGATGAACTGCTAATAAAATTGGGTTCTGCACATGTAATTAACATTCCTGCTGGTAGTTACTACTTTTTTAATATTTGCTGGCTATGTTAGTATGTAGCTAGCTATCAGATCTATTTATATGTCATTTGGAATTTAATTAAGTATTGTATGAAGTACATTATATTGTACATTTAAGAGACATTTCTAGTAATATTTTGCGAATTTTGAATTTTTATTATGTTCTTCAAGTATTTAAATCACCCCTAAAATCTAAAATAAGTAATTCTATGCTTAAAAATAATGTCACGCAACAAGACATTCATAGTACGTAGTATTTTTTGCCACTTTTTAGCCTCCAAATAAATCGAAAAATTCTATAAATCCTTTCTCATAAAAGTTGGTCTCTAAAAAGGTCCTTCTGACAAGGTTACCGGCCCAATGATGCCTTAACTTTGAATTAAACATATAAGCCTAGTGTCCTCAAAAAAAAAACAAAAAAAAATATATAAGCCTAGTCGGAAGAATGTACAGCCCTTGGAATAATTTGTGCCTTTACATACCTATTGGCATTGTGCAGATTAGGGAATACACTTGGCTTTGGATAATGTCTGTGTATTCTTTGGCTTGATTTTGTCCAAGGATAGAGTTTATGACTCATCGATGGTTTGAGGGGGCTAGGGGAGTGGATGCATCAATGACCCGAAGAGGCATAGACCTAGTGTGAACTAATGATGCATGCTAACATAGGCTTTGATCATGATAGACAATAGTACCATTGGTAGATGAGGCCTCTAATGATGGCTTAGCAGGCTAACAACAATCGTGAGACAAGAGTGCACATATATTATTATATTAGCCAGTTATTTAAAACCCATGTCCAAGTCCTAATCAACTGAGAGAAAAGGAAGACAAGGATGTATTATCCAACAAAAAAGTGAATATCAACCTTGAAAGATTTGAATTACGAGATATACATAGCAAATTCATCATCAACTAAACATCATCCACATAATCTGATTGGTAACACAAAACAGATATGCAACAGGTTTACCTACATTGCTTGACAATACACACTAACCAAGACCTGCTGTTGAATCTTTCCGAGGTGAATCAGCCTTAATCCTAGGCGGCCGCACTATACGATCAATGAGTCCATATTCAAGAGCCTCCTGAGCATTAAAACGCTTCACCCGACTTAAATCTTGGTGAACCTGCACAGGGCAAGCAACAAAATTTTCAGGAAGATAACATAAACCATACAGCAGAATGTGCACTCAGTCGTTGTCTTTCATATATCATCTGTAAAAAAAAGTTAAAATAAGAAGAAATTGGTGTACCTTCTCTACTGGTTGACCTGTGTTTTTAGCCAACTCACTGTAGAGATAATCTCTGACACGAAGAAGTTCATCAGCTTCATTACGGATGTCATCAGCCTGCAAAACGAAAAATGTAAGCAGCAAAAGGGTACAGAAATATACCACTTATCCCTTGGAAAGAACACCTTCAAAAAAATATGATGCAGGTATACCTGGCCACGAGCAGTCCCAGCTGGAGATTGCAGTGCAATTCTTGAAAGAGGCATTGCAAAACGTTGACCCTGAATTAATTTAGAGATAGTTACAAATCACTAGATCATGTTTGAGCAACAAAAAACGTATGATAGCATATCACATATAAACAGGAATACAGGGACTTGAGATTCTGTGAGGTCTTCAGAACAGCTGCAAATTCAGTTCTTATAAATCATGAATTTTCTGAGTTGGAAAATAAAATTAACATATGATGCTTGAACATTACAATACTCTGAATTTCAGATGGAAGGAAAAAAAAATGCCGAATTAATTCATCGCCATTACATTAGATGATCTAGCATCATGATCAAGATAAAAGGGTACAATTGTCTAAACAGGAGGGACAGAAAATTATTACCTTCTCTCCAGCTGTTAGGAGAAATCCTGCGAGATTATAGGCATAACCAACACAGTGTGTGCCAATAGGACTTTTTAAGCTCGCGATTGTATCATAAATTGCCAAGCTTGGTGTTAGCTGCAACAAGCACCCACCGAACTCAAAATGAGTGAGAGGTCAAACCCAACAACTATATATTTAGATAATTGATTCTATATATTTGACAAGAACAAAACTCACATCCCCACCAGGACCATTGATGTACATATAAAGTCTCTTGCCATCATCAATACTGTCCAGATACAACATGGTTGCCAGTATTTGGTTGCTGAATTCTTCATCTATATGTTGCCCAATGAATATGACACGCTCACGGTACTGTGAATTAAAGGATACAGGTAAATAACAGAGAAGGGGAAATATTATTATTTATTATTAAATCTTTTCTTTCCATTTACTACCTGGGAAACCTATGGGGTACAATTCTCATATACACAATTACAAATATGATTAGTAAAAATTTTGCGATGGATATATGTACTCTCTTTGTCTCCAAATCACCATTTCACCCAAAAATCTTGTCCTGAGTCCAATTTTACCTTTATTTGTTATTGAATTACCTAGTTATAAACCAAACCCCACTATCTTCTTTTCTTATTCAATTTTGATCGAACAAACCCAGCTATCTCAATTTTTTTTCACCCCCTAAAAATGTGTGCAAAAGACTTACATTACTTGATTGGTGATGCAAATTATATCAGCTCAAATGATGAAAGATATACTATAATAGCCAAGAAATATCAGACCTAAGTAACAAAACTTCTGAATGGTGAAGTGATGAGATGCAACACACATTACACAACACAGATCATTCTTCCTAACTTCTTTAGCACAAGAGAAACCCTTAAGTTGTAGGAATAAAGTGAAGTTCTGAAGACATACAAGGGCATTCCATAAATCCACCCATTGCCAACTTCCCTCACCAGGAGTTCTATAAGGTACTCTGGGCGTTCCAATAGGCATCATATTGACCCTTCCTCGTGTTGGTTTAGTATTACACCTGAAACTAAAAGTATAAATATGTCTCATGACTGTCATCCTATAAACAAAGAGTATTAACACATAACTCTCCATGAGATTACTATAATATTGATACAAATAAGATAGCACAATTTCTAATCATCATGGGAGATAAGCAAGAAATAAACTTTTGCAATACTTTTAATTCATTTAAGATAATGGTGCCATGTAAAAGTATCTTTTTGTCCTTTAATAAGAGTCTCATTTCACTACAACATCTTGTCCCTATCTTACTTAACTATAAGATCTTGTCCCTATTTACCTCATTTCGCTACAAGAATTTGTCCTTGTTTAGATTCTCATTTCTCTTCTATTTGTTTACTTTAATCCACCTTTAATCAACCAAACCCCATTTTATTCTTGTTTTCTTCACCTTCAATCAACTAAACCCGCAATCTTATTTTCTATACACTTTTTCTTAATATATGCTCAAATTGAACGAATGGGGTTTATATTTAGAAGCGGAGTGAATTTCACATATATGGATTATTAAAAGCAACTCCAATGGTTGTAGCTGCATAGGGACTTGCTTGCAATTTCAATAATTCTCTAGCTACTAGCTTAACCATTAGAGCTAGAAAACTCAATTAGTTTGGCTAAGCAAATTAGCATTGCCAAGCTAACTTGCTTGAGAATTAAACTTGTCAAAATAAAATGCTCATTGAACCAATTAAGCTCTTTTCATGTATTTTCTACCCAACGACTATTACAAAGTTAATAGCTAGCTATTAGAGCAAAAAGTAGCTAAAATGATAATTAACTTAAAAGCTTATGTGGCATGGCAAGCTAATTGTCATGGCATTGGAGTTGCTCTTATATTACTCTTATAGATAACGGTGGACTGTGTATTTCACATGTATCATATCAAGTAATCCATCCAAACTTTTGGATATAGGACTTTGAAAAGTACATCCAAAGTCCGAACAACATTGTTAAGTACGCTGGGTATTGCAACACAGCAATTAATTTTATACATCAAACAGATTAAAATTTCCCACAAAACATCACAATGTGATCCTCATTGACGAACAATTTTAAACAATCCAGTCTATTGCACTCTACTATCCGAAAAGCATAAATTAGCAATCATATCAATTGGTGATACATATAGGAATATATTTACGCAATATTTCTAATCGGGTACATCAAATTTGCAAAATAGGTGAATAAATTAATTTGCTAAATTTTCGAGAAAAAGCATAAGGAAAAGGGAAATTACGTGTAATGTAGACTCTTATGAACTTTGTCATAGAAATCAACCGTCAAATTAGGTCTGGCACTTCCAAAAAGACCTGAAACACAAATTAACACACGAATTCGTCGATTATCAACAAAAAAGAATTTCACAGAAATTAAATTCATTGATAAAAATTACAAAAAAAAAGCTGAAATCCGGAGGAATTACTTGAAGATTGGGGCTTTAATCCAACAAAAACTCTGGTTGCGCAACTATAATTGCGAAAATTGAAGAGTTTCAGTAAATAAATTAATCAAATTGAAACAAAAATTGAAAAAAGAAGAGTGAGAAAAAAGAGGAGGGACCTGAGAGGATGAGGAGAGACGGAAGCTCTAGCATGGAGGCAAGACGTAGAACCAGTGGATTGAAGAGATACTGCCATTGAAGAACAGATTTTGGTGGAGAGAGAAAATGAACAAAATGAGAGAGCATAAAAGTGTGAAGATATTCAGGATTTCATTTTAATGTTGGGCTTCAATGCTTCATACTAGTAGCCCAAATATTGCAAAACATGTCCCTATAATTTTTACTTACTGGACTTTTTTAGTATCTAACGAACGTCATAAAACGTACCGTATATCTTCATTTTCATACGCTTGAAAATTATATTGATTTTGATTTATTATTAAAATATATGAGACGAATTCAACAAAATTTCACATGACTATCTTATTGATTGATATAAATGTATGGTCAAAGTTCTTAACGTTTTATAAATTTCTTATCCTCTCTCCACGCTCTATTTGATAACTAGTGTGTTTAAAGATAAATTTATATTTAGTATATTAGGTTTCCATTTAAAAATAAGGATTGCATATAAGCATTTAATATATTCCCTTTTTTATTATAAAGTTGAGAATTTATCGATATTTCACGAGTAAATCAATATAATAAATATTTATTTATTGTTTATTCTTTCCATTTTTAGTTTCTTATATGCAACCTAGGGTTGCAATATTTTTTTCCCAAGAAATAAAATGACAATTTTTCTTTTAAATCTTTGAAGAAAAAAAAATGCAACAATAGTATTTTCTTGAACTTATTACATAACACCCTTATCTAGACTATAATTCCTAAAATATGTGGAAATAAGCTGATAAAAAAGAAGGCCTAAGACAATGAAGTATGATAAAGTGTAAAATGGAGAATAGCCCAGACTTAATATTGCAACAAAATGCTCAAACGAGTTAAGTAAATAATTTACCACAACAGAATTTTGAATAAGGAGCAGAAGCTCAAGAGAAACCAATAATACACGAAAGAAAATGAAGGAAAAAAGGCTTCATAATCTAGGGATTAATCTATATGAACGTCTAATTTCAAAAGAAAAAAAATGGAATATCTATCATTTTGACATATTTCCAATTACATTATCAATTATGAAGTGAGTGCCTAATGAACTAGCAGCCAAATCCAGAAACACCACAACCACTAGCAGTTGCAGGAAAACCCGGTCCCTGAAGAAGCCGCAAGTTCAGTCTTGATGTTGCAAGACTTAAAAAGGGACAGCAGTAAAATAGTTGTGACCTAATAGAGTTCTTCATCATCTTCCAACGTAGTCCAAATCATCCTGAAATATTGGACAATGAAAATATGCTCAATTAGTTGACTGTATTACTAGATAACCACAAATATAATTTCTGACAATAAATGATCATTCAAGATTTCAAAAGCTGGACCAAAGGTCATTACCAAAATAATGAGAGGAACAGGATAAGCAACAGATATCCAAGTTTGATAAGACGCTTCTTCTTTTCCCAATTTAGCAAATTGAAGATCTCGGTCACATCTACAAAGTGCTTGTTGTCCATGTACCTAAACAATGCAGAGCAATGAGACGAACTTAGAATCGAGCTTGTATTTGTGTAAGCACATCATTATATATCCAGCAGCACTGGAGTGTAATCAATTCACCAGCAAGCTGATATGACAGCAGGATAAACATGGAAGTATTTGATATGTTCAGCAGTCAGCACTGTGGTTACGAATCACACTTAACATTGATACGATTGGCAATAATGTCACAGATAGAAGGTAGGTTTAATAAGCTATGCCCTATGCCTGATCCCATAATGAGATATTTTCTCTGTAGCTGAATACGTTTCACTACAGATAAACACAGATTATGTAGCTCAACTCAGGTACTAGACCAATTTTATAGAAAATTTCCATGACACTGATCCAAAAAGAAGCGTAAAGTGTCCATACCCATACCAGAATGTAGAGAATCTAAAATAGACACTGATCCAAAAAGAAGCGTAAAGTGTCCATAACCATACCAGAATGTAGAGGATCTAACATAGGTGCTTGAGATGAAATAGAGAGTCTGAGAAACATAGAACACGATAGCAAACAACACCTAAATTGCTTAAAAAATTAAGTCATTGACTTAAGGATATATTCTTCTAGTCAATCAAACCGGCATTATTCTTCTAGTCAACTAGCCGGCCGCCACCTTGTACCCTTGAAAACAGCCGGTCGGAACTCCCAAAATCTACCTCGCCGACCAAAATCCTCCCTCGAAACCACCCCTTGCCCTAAATCCCACCCTCGAAACCACCGCTTGCCCCAAATCCCACCCCCGAAACCACCATAACTACGACAACCATCACCCTTAAAAACCCCACTTGGCCACCGAAAAGTCGAAAACCACCTCTAAATGCCGAAAACCCCCCGAAACCCCACCCAAACTCCATCCCAGCCCCGAAAAACCCCACCCAACCTCCTTAATCACCCCGGTTATCCCCATCTCAACCCATAAAAGGCTGCTTAAACACCCTAAAAACCCGACCCCAACACGAAAAATCCACAGTTTCCTTGGTGGGTAGGTGCCGGGCGGCCGTTTTCGGGGGTTAAGGAGGTCCGCCGGCTGTTTTTGGTGGTGGCTGGGGTAGGGGATAGGGATTCACGGTGGCTAGGGTTTTTGGTTGGTGGCAGGGGGTTTTTTTCCTTTTCCTTTTCTTTTTATTTTATTTTCTGTATTTTAATTTTTGCTTTTTTTTATTACTAAAAAATAAAATGAACCTATTAAAAATTGACACATGGCATATCGCCTACAAAAATCGGTCACCAACAGGTTAAGGTCCATTAAAAGAAGATGAACTGCCAAGGTGGGATTGTCTCGTAATAATTAAAAAGTGGGATTGTTATTGTCAGACCACGCAAAGGTGTGATTATTTATTTCCATTTTTCCTTACTTTTAAACTATAATATAATCCAAAGGTTAGCTACAACACATTGTAGCATGTAAATATAGATAACTATACTAGTATAATGAAAGTTTTGTATCTTCGTTGCATCTTAAGTGGAGTTTGATTTTCATCAAATTGCATTAAAATAAAATATTAAGCTACCTACTAGTTTGAGCTACACCTCCTATCAAGCAAACATTATTTTATATCCTACAATGGTGAGGATCCTGCTTGATATTTTTACTTGATTGCAAGCAAGTCCAAAAAGCAACCATTGGAAATGCTCTATTTGTCTCTACTGTTAGAAATTTAGAATACAAATATGATATATACCAAATTAAATATATACGCTTATAATTTGCATATTTCTATTCAAACATCTTCTTCTTTTGGACTTTAACAATATTACCACTTCCTCTCCCTTTCTCATGAGCTTATTGATTTTTTAAATTTTTTTATAAATTGCTTGATACATAGCCATACACAAGATTTGGAATTCAGCAGTAATGAACTCCCTAGAGTCTAAGATGATGCCTATTATGGGGGCAGAAGTGAAGGAGAAAGATGAGATGGGTGGAAAATCCAGCAGTAGCAGGTCCAAAAGACTATAAGGATCTAGGATAGAGAATGGGAACCCAAAATAGGCCTGTAAGAGAATGATATTAAATCTTGGCCGCATCACCTCACTGCATAGCAATCACATTGTAAAGGTTTTTGAGCTTACAACTACTAGAATATCAGGCTGTGGCCCGAAACAGCCACTACAACCGCACAGCCTGCAGAAGTAATGCCACAACCGTCATAGCAATTGCGACTGCATCTGAGATTCAAAACCATAAATGAAGAAACTGAAGAGCATTAGTGTTTCGGGGGCTGCATTAATTTACTAATGAAAGCATTTTCCAGTGATGAAGTTAGAAAGTTGGCCAGTGGTAGTAGTAGATTGAGAAATAAGAGCAAACATATGAATGAAAGAAAGCTGGAATCTATGGTAGTTTAATCCTACAATTAATTGGAGTTGATCTCAAAAGGTGGAGAATAAGATAACAAATATAGATAGAGGGATTTTGTATATCTTGCTTTGGTGTGTGACCTGTGGATGTCTGTTTTACACAATGACAAGACCACTAAAAGTGGTTTAGACTTTCCACTTTACCGAACGAAATTTTATTAATGGATAGAAACGAAATGGAAAAAAGAAATAAAATCATTACAGAGCAACCCCTTAGCTTTTCAATAATCATAACCTAAGGATAATGTCCAACTGTCCACAAAAACCTCTACCAAGGCATTAACTTTTACTGTAACTAATTTATTTTGCTGAGCTTTCTAACTAGCTTGGCTTATTTCTTTTGCTTAAATAAACTTATCTTTACCGAATTAAAAAATTAAAAAAAATTGAAAATTGTTTAAATAAGCTGAGGATAACAGAGCCCAAGTCTAGGTTAATATCTCGAAGGAGAATATGCAAAATTATCGATCGAAATAATAATTTAACTCAATTTCTGACATGTTGTCTCATTAATTTGTAACATAGCAACTCGAATTCTAGCATTATAAGAATTGTGACCTACAACGCATTTATATGAAGCTACACAAAATTAACAAGAATTTCATACTACACAGCCATAGTGAAATGCAATTGAAATATATAGTTGCAAAGAGCATCTCCCCTTCCTCCCTTTAAACAGAAAAGGAAACAAAAAAGCAGCAAAGAAGCTTACGTTTTGACATTGTAGTAGAGGTAAGGGGCACATAAAAGTGCCATAATCCAATGACCCGTCAGAAGAAAAAGGAGGGTAAGTCCTGCTTGGATTACATATTCGGGCAAAACTACTTGATTTATCCGAATTGCAGAGTCATATGGGTTGATGTTATCAAACTCGAGGTCTGCCAAGCACATAAGCTGCAAGAAACTTCTAAGCAGTAAGAACAGATCTTTTAACATACTTCTTAGGTAAAACATAATCTTTATCACTAAGGCAATGCAACTATTAAAAATAATAAATAAAAAAGCTTATGTTGAAAAGTGACTATATTCTGGCAAAACTAGAACTGTACAGTGTCACCATAATTACTGTCAAGCATAGCAGCAATGACTTCACGGAATAATCAAATTTAGTTCATGTAGCCAACCCCACTAATGGGATTAAGGCTTTGATTGATTGATAGCAGCAAATGGCTATCAATTTCATCTGTACAGCTGAAACACGGGTAAAACATTCTGTGTCCATTGTTTCATGAGACATTCAAATTTAGAAGGTGTATACGTATCAAAAATCTCTCTAAAGATAATAACCGATATGAAAAATTATATAGGAATAATCCAAAAAGGGGAAAAAAAAATATACTTATACGCAAAGACAGAAGCAAGTCAAAGCATAGCATTAGTCAATCTTTGGCCAACAAATTAAATATTTGAAGGAGAAAACAGATGAGGGAAAGATATACTTAGGCTGATCTACAGAATGCTCCAAAGGGATTACTGACAAGAAAAGCTTCTATTCATGAAACTATAAGTGATTGAAATTGCCAATTGATATCCTTGCAACCATAATTATAAGCACAGCCACCGTCGATTTTCTTACAGTAACATACTTTTTTCAATTCTTTCCACATCCTAAGAGATGAAGCATTATAATAATTTACACTTCACAATATCATAGACAGCTATACTTCCTCCCCTAAAAGAAGGCAACAATTCCATAGATGATTTGAAGCACCTGACTATATTTGGCTATTTGCTATATTTTCAAGTTTCTTCTTCAATTGAATTGTCAAACTAACCCTATAGCTCTGTCTTACATTCTCATAACAAACAGGTCTACCAATACTTACACTGGAAAATACTCGACATAGGACCTTGCTAATCAAAGACAATTGCATCTTGATTTTGCATTTAATTGTCTTAAATCAAAAATATGAAGAGCTTTAAACACAGTATGTCATAAACATGAAAAGGTACAAAAATAAAAAGTTGTAGCTGCCCCTGTAAGACCGGAAAAGCTTCCAAATAGACACTGGTCATGCCTTACTTTAATATGAAAATAGTTTAAATCAGCACACCATTATCCCAATTACCATTCAGAATCTTCCTCTGTTACTTTCCACTAATACTCTTATGACCTTTGACTAGCTAAGAGATCTCCCACCCGATAACATATATACAAACAAATAAGGACATTAAAGTTGTCCTCTTTCTAAGTTCCTATATGAGCTGCTTAACAGAAAGCTTACTTGCACTACTTCCTGTGATATGAAAACAATACACAAGCTCCTTCACAAGCACATCATCATGCAACTTCCTCACTCAGTATTTACTTTTGTTTCTTTCCTACTACTCAAGTTCCTAAATGAACCAAGCCGATCAATAAACTACTCGGGTTCGAGCTCGGTTGAAGCTAGTTCATGTTCGTTTATTTAATAAATGAGTTGAGTTTGAACAAATTTTGAAGCTCGTTTAATAAATGAGCTTGGACACGAACATAGATATGTTCGTTCAAATATGTTCATGAACAACTCGTTTATTGATTCTCACAAACTACTTGTTTATTTATGTTCATGAATTATTGATTTATTCACAATTTGTTAATTTAATTCTTAAGTTTATACAACGTGATTAAGATTTAATTATTATGCTACTTTTGAGATTTTCAAATGTCAAAAGTTAAAGCTCGTTTATTGTAAAAGCTTGTTTATTATTAAGCTCGTTCATAATCACTCAATTATCAATTCGTTTAATAAACGAGCTATTCATGAACCGTTCATGAACATATATTGTACTAAATGAACAGAGCTTGAACAGATTTTTGAGCTCAAACTCGCCTAAGTTAAATGAACTGAACATGAACAAGGTAGTACTCGGCTCGGCTCATTTACACCCCTACCCTTATGTAGTAGACCCCTGCTGCTAAGAAAAACATTCTCATAATCTTCTGTAGCTACTAAAAGAGATTATAACAAATCACAATTTCAATATAACCTCCAAATTACCTAAACAGAGGAAAAACTCCAACCCAAATATTTCAGTATAACCTCCAAATTACCTAAATAGAGGAAAAACTTCAAACCAAACATTTCAGTATAACCTCCAAATCACCAAAACAAAGAAAAAATTCCAACCCTAATGTTTTGTAACGCTCTACTTATACTTTGCTGTATTAATGAAACTTGAAAGCAATAAGGATAATATTTTTAGGGAAGAAGGCAGCTATTTCATTGAATAAAGATTGAATCTTGCAAACAAGGTGGCTTGAGGCCACGACTCTCTACTAGCACCTTTAGGGCACAATGCTCTACACTCTAAGTTTACCAATCACCAGCTACCTAGCACACTCCCACTCCCCTTTTACTTATATGTACACAATCAGCCAAAAAAGAAAGAGGACAAAAAGTTGCAGCTGTCATTCTTAGAGAGGCTCTGCCAGCAATCCTTAACTTGATTGATTTGGTGGCTCCTCTGCTGGGCCTTGCAGCTGCTGCCCTTTCTTCCTTCTGCGCTCATAGGTGATCCAATCCTTGTTGTGCTCGCTATCCACGGCATTCGTTGCATCTTCCCCCCCTACAAGAGTCACCTTGTCCTCAAGGTGAAAGGATGGAAATCTCTCTTGTATGATGGCAGCCACTTCCCAAGTTGCCTCAATGAAGGGCAGTCCTTGCCACTTAATTAAGACCTCCAAGATGTCTGGGTTGGTCTTAGCAGCCCTTATATCCAGCACACTCTCAGGTTCTGCTCTGAGTTCCAGCTCTTCAGTCAGTTGGGTGGGTATGGTGGGGTTTGCTGTTTGGCCTCCTACTGCGCGCTTAAGCTGAGAGACATGGAACACGGGGTGGATCTTGCAAGTTGCTGGCAGCTCCAGCTTGTAAGCCACTTGACCAATGCGTTGGAGCACCTTGAAGGGACCATAGAAACGAGGAGCTAGCTTCTCATTTGGCCTCCTTGCTAATGATTTTTGTCGGTAAGGTTGCAATTTCAGGTAGACAAAGTCCCCTACCTGAAATTCCTCCTCCCTCCTTCGCAAATCTGCATTGTGCTTCATTCTTTGTTGTGCCCGAACCAAATTCATGTGCAAGTCATCCAAAACCCAATCTCTCTCCTGCAGCCACTCCTCCAGCCTATCCACAGGCGTTTGTCCCTTCCCCACCTTGATTAGTCTGGGCGGATCCCTCCCATACACTACTCTAAAGGGTGTAAACCCAGTAGAAGCATGATAGGCTGTGTTGTAGGCATATTCCGCCCAATGCAGCCACTTACTCCACGACTTAGGCTTACCGTTGATGAAGCAATGTAGGTATGTTTCCAAGGTTTCGTTGACAACCTCGGTTTGGCCGTCGGTTTGAGGGTGATATGCGGTACTCCTCTTGAGGTCCGTTCCTTGCAACCTAAACAACTCTTTCCAGAACACACTCATGAAGATTCGATCCCTATCCGACACAATTGAGGTAGGCATCCCATGTAGCCTAACAACTTCCTTAGTGAACGTCTCTGCGATGGTTAAGGCACTATATGGATGCTTCAACCCCATGAAGTGCGCATACTTGGACAACCTATCAACTACCACTACACCGAGTTTATCCCCTTAGAATTGGGCAGCCCTTCTACAAAGTCCATTGAGATATCCTCCCAAATATTCTCGGGAATAGGTAAGGGTTGTAACAATCCCGCCGGTTGCAATTGGGAGTGTTTGGCTTGTTGGCAAGTAGCACATTGCTTGACATACATTCCCACATCTTTACGCATCCCAAACCAATACCATTCGGCAGCCAATCTTAGGTAAGTCTTTGTTTCACCTTGGTGTCCCCCCACCGGACTATCGTGGTATTCGATCAAAAGCTTAGAAATTAATGGTGACTCTCTCGGAATTACCACTCTTCCCCTAAAGAGTAGCTTATCTTCTTCGAGTGTGAACCCATCACGAGCCCCCTGCCCTTCTGCCAAGTCTCCCATGATTTTGCCGAGGTCTTTATCAACTCTCACCTCCCTCTCTAGCCCTTCCCAATCAATCCTTGAAACTGAAACCAAGGCTGCCAGCTCTCCAACACTCCCACCTTTGCGGGACAGAGCATCCGCCGCTCTATTACTCGCACCCGGCTTGAATTGGATCTCGAAATCGAAACCCAACAATTTTCGGACCCATTTTTGGTACTCCCCATTCACTTCCCTTTGCTCCATCAAATACTTTAAACTCTGTTGGTCCGTTCTCACCACAAAGTGGCGCCCAAGTAAATAATGTCGCCACTTAACCACGGCCAAGCAAATCGCCATCAACTCCTTCTCATATATAGCCTTTGCTTGCGACCTCGGGCCTAGTAACTTGCTAAAGAAAGCTATTGGCCTCGATTCTTGCATTAAGACAGCCCCCAACCCATAACCCGATGCATCTGCTTCAATTACAAATTTCTTGCTGAAATTTGGCATCACCAAAACAGGGGCTGAAGTCATTGCTCCCTTCAGCCGTTCAAAGGCGGCCGTAGCCTCCGATGACCACCCAAAATTGTCTTTACGCAGCTGCTCCGTTAGTGGTCTTGCAATTTGAGCGTATCCCTTAATAAACTTCCGGTAATAGCCGGTCAATCCAAGAAACCCACGCAACTCCTTCAAATTTTGTGGAATTGGCCAATCCACCATAGCCTTCACCTTCTCCGAGTCCACTGCCACCCCTTCTTGCGACACCACATGCCCCAAATACGCCACCCTAGACTGACCAAACTCGCATTTCTTGAAATTAGCCACCAAGCAATGTTCTTGTAATTTGGACAGCACTACTCTCATGTGTTCCAAGTGACTCTCTCTATCCGGGCTATAGATGAGTATGTCATCGAAGAACACTAGCACAAACTTTCTCAAGAACGGTCGGAACACCTCGTTCATGAGGGCTTGGAAGGTGGCCGGTGCGTTCGTGAGGC